TTCTTCCCCAGGTGCAGGACCCTACACTTTTCCCTGTTGAACCTCATGAGGTTCTTCCTTGCCCAGCTCTCCAGCCTGTCCAAGTCTCACTGGATGGCAGCACAGCCCTCCGGGGTGTCAGCCACTCCTCCCAGTTTGGTATCATCAGCAAACTTGCTGAGGATGCACTCTGTCCCCTCGTCCAGGTCACTGATGAATATGTTGAACAGCACTGGACCAAGTATTGACCCCTGGGGGACACCACTGGTCACAGGCCTCCAGCTTGAACCTGCTCCATTAATCAATGCCCTTTGGGTCCTGTCACAGCCAGTTCTCAATCCACCTCACCGTCCCCTCATCCAGCCCACATTTCCTTAGTTTCCTAATGAGGATGTTATGGGAGACAGTGTCAAAAGCCTTGCTGAAGTCAAGGTAGATGACATCTACTGCCGTCCCTTCATCCATCCAACCAGTTATGGCATCATAGAAGGCTCTCAGATTGGTCAAGCATGATTTACCCTTGGTAAACCCGTGTTGCCCACTTCCAATAACCCCCCGCTCTTCAAGTTGTTTGGAGATGACATCTAGAATGAGTCAAGGGCCAGAGATTCACAAGGGGCAGCCTTAGCAGTAAAGACTGAAGACTGAAGAAAAGAAGGGATTCAGCAATTCTGTCTCCGTGTCTTCCACCACTAGGGTGCCCGTCCCATTCATCAGTGGGCCCACATTATCCCTAATCTTCCTTTTACTGTTTACATACCCCAAAAAACCCTTTTTGTTATTCTTAACTGTAGTGGCCAAGATGAGCTCAGCTTGAGCCTTGGCTGTTCTAGTTTTCCCCCTGCATATTGTCACCACTTCCTGGTATTTCTCCTTGCCTGCAAGGGCCAGAGATTCACAAGGGGCAGCCTTAGCAGTAAAGACTGAAGACTGAAGAAAAGAAGGGATTCAGCAATTCTGTCTCCGTGTCTTCCACCACTAGGGTGCCCGTCCCATTCATCAGTGGGCCCACATTATCCCTAATCTTCCTTTTACTGTTTACATACCCCAAAAAACCCTTTTTGTTATTCTTAACTGTAGTGGCCAAGATGAGCTCAGCTTGAGCCTTGGCTGTTCTAGTTTTCCCCCTGCATATTGTCACCACTTCCTGGTATTTCTCCTTGCCTGCCAGGCCCCTTTTCCAAAGATCATAAACCTTTTTGTTCCTGAGCTCCAGCCAAAGCTCTCTATTTAGCCAGGCTGGTCTTCTTCCCTTCCTGCTTGTTTTTTGGGACTTGGGTATGGCTCTTTCCTGCGCTTTTAAGAGTGCCTCCTTGAAGTACAACCAGCCTTCCTGGGCACCTTTGCCCTTCAGGACTGTCTCCCAAGGGATGCTTTCAACCATGCTCCTCAAGAGGCCAAAGTCTGCCCTTCGGAAGTCCAAGGTGGCAGTTTTGCTGGCCCCCCACCTTGCTTTGGTAAGACTGAAAATTGTATCATTTCGTGATCATTCTGCCCAAGATGACCTCCAACGGTTACATCCCCCACAAGACCTTCTGAGGTAACTATCAGCAGGTCCAGTAGGGCACTTTCCCTGGTCGGTTCCCTCATCAGCTGCATTAGCAAGTTGTCTTCCATGCACTCCAAGAATCTCCAGGACTGATGCCTCTCCAGCAGATACCTGTGAAGTTGAAGTCCCCTTCTGTCTCCGTGTCTTCCACCACTAGGGTGCCCGTCCCATTCATCAGTGGGCCCACATTATCCCTAATCTTCCTTTTACTGTTTACATACCCCAAAAAACCCTTTTTGTTATTCTTAACTGTAGTGGCCAAGATGAGCTCAGCTTGAGCCTTGGCTGTTCTAGTTTTCCCCCTGCATATTGTCACCACTTCCTGGTATTTCTCCTTGCCTGCCAGGCCCCTTTTCCAAAGATCATAAACCTTTTTGTTCCTGAGCTCCAGCCAAAGCTCTCTATTTAGCCAGGCTGGTCTTCTTCCCTTCCTGCTTGTTTTTGGGGACTTGGGTATGGCTCTTTCCTGCGCTTTTAAGAGTGCCTCCTTGAAGTACAACCAGCCTTCCTGGGCACCTTTGCCCTTCAGGACTGTCTCCCAAGGGATGCTTTCAACCATGCTCCTCAAGAGGCCAAAGTCTGCCCTTCGGAAGTCCAAGGTGGCAGTTTTGCTGGCCCCCCACCTTGCTTTGGTAAGACTGAAAATTGTATCATTTCGTGATCATTCTGCCCAAGATGACCTCCAACGGTTACATCCCCCACAAGACCTTCTGAGGTAACTATCAGCAGGTCCAGTAGGGCACTTTCCCTGGTCGGTTCCCTCATCAGCTGCATTAGCAAGTTGTCTTCCATGCACTCCAAGAATCTCCAGGACTGATGCCTCTCCAGCAGATACCTGTGAAGTTGAAGTCCCCCATGAGTACAAGGGAGAGCGATCGTGAGGCTCTGCCAGCTGCTTATAGAATATTTCATCAGCCTTTATATCCTGGTTTGGGGGTCTGTAACAAACTCCCACCACCATGTCTGCCTTATTGGTCTTCCCCTTGATTCTTATCCGTAGACACTCAACACTGTCATCATGCATAATGCTAAGTTCTAGGCATACAATAGTGCTCTTAACATAAAGGGCCACCCCACCACCTCTCTTTCCTTGCCTGTCCCTTCTGAAAAGTTGGTAGCCATCAATCACAGCACTCCATTTATGTGAGTTTGGAGAAGATGAGGCTGAGGGGAGAGGGAGACCTCATTGCCCATTACAGCTCCCTGAAAGGAGGGTGTAGAGAGGTGGGGGTTGGCCTCTTCTCCCAAGGGAATCATGACAGGAGCAGAGGATGCTCCTCAAGAGGCCAAAGTCTGCCCTTCGGAAGTCCAAGGTGGCAGTTTTGCTGGCCCCCCACCTTGCTTTGGTAAGACTGAAAATTGTATCATTTCGTGATCATTCTGCCCAAGATGACCTCCAACGGTTACATCCCCCACAAGACCTTCTGAGGTAACTATCAGCAGGTCCAGTAGGGCACTTTCCCTGGTCGGTTCCCTCATCAGCTGCATTAGCAAGTTGTCTTCCATGCACTCCAAGAATCTCCAGGACTGATGCCTCTCCAGCAGATACCTGTGAAGTTGAAGTCCCCCATGAGTACAAGGGAGAGCGATCGTGAGGCTCTGCCAGCTGCTTATAGAATATTTCATCAGCCTTTATATCCTGGTTTGGGGGTCTGTAACAAACTCCCACCACCATGTCTGCCTTATTGGTCTTCCCCTTGATTCTTATCCGTAGACACTCAACACTGTCATCATGCATAATGCTAAGTTCTAGGCATACAATAGTGCTCTTAACATAAAGGGCCACCCCACCACCTCTCTTTCCTTGCCTGTCCCTTCTGAAAAGTTGGTAGCCATCAATCACAGCACTCCATTTATGTGAGTTTGGAGAAGATGAGGCTGAGGGGAGAGGGAGACCTCATTGCCCATTACAGCTCCCTGAAAGGAGGGTGTAGAGAGGTGGGGGTTGGCCTCTTCTCCCAAGGGAATCATGACAGGAGCAGAGGAAATGGTCTGAAGTTGGGGCAGGGCAGGTTTAGATTAGATCTGAGGAAGAATGACTTTCCTGAGAGGGTGGTCAGGCCCTGGGACAGCCTGCCCAGGGAGGTGGTGGAGTCACCATCCCCGGAGGGCTTTAAGAAACATGTAAACGTGGCTCTTCAGGGCATGCTCTAGTGCCCAAGATTGTTGGGTTGTGTCTGTTTGCGGGTGGGTGTGGGGTGTGTGTGTGGGTTTGTGGTTGGTGTTGGCGTTCTTTTTCAACATAGGTCTGCTAAAGTAACATTTTTGGGCATTTTTTCCCCCCCAGTTCTGGAACTGATTCTTTGACCACTTTTGGTTGTTAGTTCCGGGGGTCTGGGGGGTAAAACACAGGCCCTTTAGGAATGGAAACAAGGCTGGCAAGCCCTTTAGGCACTTTAAATTGTAGGCCAAAAATCCCACCCATTATAGAACGCTTGCAGGGAGAAGTATGTTCCCACAGAACAATCTTTTTTCTGCTTGTGGGGTGGGAAGCTGGGAATTAAGTTCCTTGCAGGTCTCCTCATGTCGGCACTGTCCCCTCAAGGTGTTTTCAGCCTCCTGCAGTGGGTGAGGTGAGGGACAGGACGGGCATAACCAAACCTTGCCCCGCGGCCCAGGCACTGAAACAACACCTGGAAACTAACCCCCTTCCTGCTTTTATACTGTCACTTTGCTCGGGAATTCAGATATTTATAAAAAGCAGACAGAAAGTAAATGTGTTGCTGCTTTAAAGCACTCGGTCTGGAGATGGGGCTACATCCTCCTGGGGAGGAGTTTTCAGGGAGGAAGGCACCCTGTGGCTCATAAATAGCCGGGGCTGAGATTGTGGCTGTCCCATCCTCCTGAGGGCTCGACGGAGAAGGGCAGAGCTCCAGCTTCTCCGGGAAGAGCAGAATGGCTGAGAGGTACGTGATGAGCAGAATCAGGGATGACAGAGTGACTGTGTTCATTAAGAGGGGCTGCCCTTACAGCAGGAATGCCATGGAGATGCTCAAGGGATACAACTTCATTCCTGGGTCTCTGCAAGAGTTTGATATTACGGGGTTGGACGACGTCCAGGATTACTTCCAGCGTACCACAGGGCAAAGAACGGTGAGTTCTCGCTTCTGTAATTCAGAATTTGCTGATCCTTTTGTCCCAGCTGCCCCACAGCCTGGCTGGGCGAGGAGACTGAAGGGAGGTCTCTTTCCCCACCATGCTCTATGCCAGACCAAGGGGAGAAGCTGCCCCAATTTTCCATATTTAAAAATGCCTTGATTTTCCCAATAGCTCTGCCCATGCCACCACAGGGACCAGAGTTGCATCTTTCAAATGCCCTTTGCTGCAGAAACATGGAAAAAAGGCTGATTTAAGGCTCAGATCATGACTCCAGCAGCTAAAGAAGGGCTGGAGGAGAGGGGTACCTTCATCTTTTTAGGGCAGAGAGCCACAGCTCCTCCAAAGCTCTTCCTATGGGGTAGCACAGATTTGCAGAGGAGCAAGAACATAGAGCTGGGAGTTTGTCTGAAATTGGACATCTGTTTCTCCCTCTGGCTTTGAGCAGAAAGAACATTCTGAGGTCCACCCCTGCAGCTGGGCATCAAGCAGGCGCCGTGCTTACAAAGTTCAGCTGCTGTTTCTTTTGGAGCTTAAGTCAGTGTTCAGATCTGTCATGGGGAGCAGCGCTTCGTGCCTGAGTTTCAGGAAGTAATTTCCTCATAGGAGCTGTCACGCAGGGCAGAGAGTTCACCCCTCAGCCTTAGTGATACCTCTGAGTAATCAACACACCTGGTTTGGTTTTTTTTTTCCCCTACAATCCACCTTAATGATGACAAAGGCCAACAGCCTCCACGCAACCAGGGCAGGAGGGAAGTGCTGGGGACCCTCTGTCCCTGGGTTTTGGGGGGGTTTCTCCTGCACACATCCAGTCAGGGAAAACCCAGACCTGTAGCTCTGCTTTGGGGACAGTGGGGCTGCCAGCTGGCCTGGTGGAAAGTGTCCCTGCATCTGTCCCACCTGAGTGATGGCAAAGTTCTGGTGCTAACACTGCCTGCACCTCCTGTAAAGCCCTCGATCTCATAGTAAACCCTCTTTCCTGGCTTGTGTCTGGTCCTGCCTGCTCAATTTTAACCTTTTAGGGGTGGCAGAGGCGACCTTGTTTCTTGCTTGACTCCCTGTCCCCATCCTGACTTTGGGAATTGGGTGGTAGCACCTGGGCACGTCTGGATTTACCCACCCCTTGAAGGAGACAGCACAGGAGGGTCCATCATGGACCAGTTAATGAGGACAGTGCTGGAGCCCAGCCTCACACCCCGGCTGTGGTGGACAGTTTGTCTGGGGGATGTGGGCAAGACCATTAATGTCTTTGCTCTCTGGGGGCTGTCAGGCTGTTAATCTGTAGCCCTTGCCTGATGTTTCGCCTGGGCCCAGAAGGGCATGGTGGTCACAGAATAACAGGATGGTTTGGGTGGGAAGGAACCTTCAAAGGCCATCTATTTCCAACACCCCTGCCACGAGCAGGGACATCTTCCAGCGCACCAGGTTGCTCAGAGCCTGATCCAACCTGCCCTTGATGATCCCACTGACAGCCTGGGCTGCTCCCCATGTGTCACCCAGGCCCATGTGAGGTGTCTTGCTCAACTTCTTGGGAAGAGCATCCAACGCCCAACTATCCTGAAGCTCAGTTCTTGGTCTCCCAGATCATCCTGCCACCCTTTGTCTGCACCAATTGCCAACAAATACCCTTTATGTTTCTTCCCATGGCCCTGGCCCTCTGTAGTGCTGGACCTTTTAGGAAAGTGTTGTTAATCCATGTATGCCTTCCTTGACCCCGACCCACCACGCTGTTTCCCAGCTTTGCCATGCTGCCAGCTGCCGTGTACCGGTGACCATCCCCACGGACCTCAGGAAACCTCACAGCACCCACCAAACCACAGCAGAGCACTGAGCTGGGCTGGGATGCTGAAAGCAGATCCCAAAAGCAGAAGTGTTTTCCCAGTAGCCGGGGAATTTGGGAGGGAGGGAGGGAGAGAAGGAGAGGATGGCCAGCTTTGTCAGTGAAGCAACACACTGCATGTAGAAACTGATTTCCCAGCAGGAGGGGAGCTAATAAGATTAGCAGCAGGAGAAAGTGGAAGCAGATTTCCAGGCTGAAGAGGGATGGCGTGAGGTCTGCCAGAGAGAGGAGACAGTTAACGAAAGGAGAAGGTAATTTCCAGCAGCAGAGGGGTTGGGGAGAGGGACGGCTGGCATTCGGGGCGACAAAAGGGTGACGAGTGTCACTGGGGTCAGGGTGTCAGAAGAAGGTTTGTCTTGGCATCTGCTGGGATTTGGGGGATTTACAGTGATGGGAAAACTTTGAAGAAAGCTTGGAGGTGTTTGTTCTTCATCCCACACCACCAACTTGCTGAACAAAGCTGTCTCCTTTTCCCATGTGGGTGGGACAAGGGCTGGGGGAGAACGGATCAGAGGTGGCTCCTTTGGGACGTTCATCGATACGGGGATGCGAGGGGCTGGGAGGAGAACTGGCTGAGGGCAAAAAATCCAAGGTGAAGAGGGAAAGGGAAAGGGAAAGGGAAAGGGAAAGGGAAAGGGAAAGGGAGGGGACAAACTGCAACACACCTATGGGCTGGGGTGCACATCACATCACTGGGGGCCCCTCCTCAGTGTCAGAGTGTCCTCCTCCCAAAGTGAGACCTGCACAGGAGCAGGGGAGAGGGCTTTCCGAGATGCTGTCTGTGAACTATATGCTTTCCCCCTTCATATTTTATGCCTAATCTTTCCCATGTCTTTTGTCTTGAATCCTTCAGCTATTACCATCACCTCAATAATTTCAGTTCTGCCTGTATTTTCATTTCTTATCTTCCCTTGCTTTGCTGGGGTGCTCTTTCCCATCTCAACAACAATTTTCACTTCCCTCTGTGGAGAGCAGCACGTGTGCCTTATGGAAGGCTCACAGACTGATGTTCAGTGATTGTTCCTGGTATTTTGGGGGGTTTTTTTTTTGGGGGGGGGGGTTGTGTTTCTTTTAAAATCTGGCTCTGCACTGATTGCCACTCATCTTGCACCCGGGCAACCACTGTGAGACAGGAAAATAAAGGAACCAGCACGGGCAGGAAAACAGCAGTCGGTCGGGACTGTAAAGCAGAAGGAGGGCAAAAGGTCAGGAAAAGGGTACACGGAGAAGGGTTTGTCCCAGAAATGTAAGTTTTTGGTGCCAAGTGACTCTGACAGCAGTGGTGGCCGTCAGGGGGCCAGCAGCACATCCTGCTGGGCAACTTGACGTGCCTGGGAAGCACTAGGGAGGATGGTGGGACTCCTGGACACATGGCTGCCCAGGGCAGTGGTGGAGTCACCATCCCTAGAGGGATTTAAAAACCAGGCAGACGTGGTGCTGAGGGACATGGGTCAGTGGTGGGCTTGTCAGTGTTGGGTTGGTGGTTGGACTCCATGATCTGAAAGGTTCCTTCTGACCCAGAAGAATCAGAATCCTTCTGATTCTATGAGAACCTGCCATGTGTTCATGCATGGTCCATGCCACTCCAGGTCTCGGCTCTTGGAGCTGCTGGCTCACTGCTCTGGGATGATGTGTTTGGAGCATCCCCAGAGCTGCCCTGGAGTGTGGTTTTATCCTCCTGTAGCCACTATAAAATGCAGAGTGTCCCTTACCCCTTCTTTTCTACCAGAAAGCAGACTTTCAGAGAGAGGAGGGGGTGGGACAAGAGGAGGACTTAATAAACCACAGTCTCCTCAGCATGACCTCTGCTTCCCCAACAAATCCTCCCTGGTTCTTTGCCAGCAGCAGCCTGGCTCCACTCATCAGTCTGTGTTTTGTGCCCAGGTCCCACGCGTGTTCATCGGGAGACGCTGCATCGGGGGGTTTTCCGACCTGGAGAGGCTGAGGCAGAACCTCCCCACGATGCTGCGGCAGATCGGCGCCCTGAAGTAGCCACAGGGTAAGTGCTGGGGGGGCTCTCTGGACAGCAGAAATGCTTTTTTCAGTGGTATGGACAAATCTGAATATTTGTAATACTGAAGCATGACTTGGTGGAGCTGTGCTTTGTGCCCTGACATGGCAGCAGCATGAATTAATTTCTGGGATTCCCTGTTGCAGTATATACACTGTGAATTTCTTCCCCACATACTTGAAAGAAGTGTCACCAAAATCTCTGAAAACACAGCTTCCAGCTGCTAGACTTTGCCTAGGACCTAGACAAAGTGGTTCAGCTTGTAGATCTTTCATTCCTTTTGTTTTTTCCCTAATCAGAAGACAGAGCCTGTTTCTCTAAAACAAAGTTTCAGCCTGACTGCTGACAGAAGATGGGCTTTTATTATATTGCAATCAGCTTTAAAACATGTCTGAGCACTCTGTGAGGGACCCACTGTACTTTTCTGTGGGTGGGGTGTGTGGTGACCCTCAGCAGGACTTTCTGAGGTGCTTGCACGCAGGAATGGAGAACTGCTGTATCAGGAGACCAGCCAGAATATATGCAGAGGGATGAAGTTTGTGGAGGACCCACATGTGTGCGTGCAGTGCCTTCTGCATGGGCAAACAGCCCACAGAAGATCAGCAGAGCAGGGAAGAGCTCTTCAGCGTTGAGGCAAAGGTAGTTTAGGGCCTTGGCTTTGCAAGTGCAGCTGAGAGGGCTTCTGGGACGAATTGCTGACAAACAAGAGGAGAATCATGGAATTGGTCAGGTCAGAGGAGACCTCTGGAGGTGCCTCGTCCAACCCCTTGATCCCAGCAGGGTCAGCTGTGGGATCAGACCAGGTTGCTCAGGGCTTTACCCAGTCAGGTCTTGGCAAACCTTCAAGGACAGAGTCCGCACAAGCTCCTGGGAGTGTTTCACTCTCCAAATGGGCAAAACTTCTTTCTTTAGACATTGCCCACCTCCTGCCCTCCTGCCACGCACCACCATGCAGGACCACTGCCCATGAGGGCAGCCCAGGGTGCTGGTGGCCCTCCTTGCTTCCAGGACATTGCTGGTGGCTGGTGTTCACCTCTCTGGCTGTCGAGACCCCCTCCTGGCCACCTTTTGCAGAGCTGTTCTCCAGCCTGTGTCACCCAACAAGGATGCTCCTGCCTGGAAAAACTCACCTCCTGTTGAAGGTTCCTGCCCATCATACCTAGGTCCTGGGCAGCATTTCCAAATTCCTCCTGTGCAGCCTGTCCCTGTTCTCCTCTCCTAGATGCTGCCCTTTTGCCATAGAGCCTACTGTTGCATCCCTCCCTCATCCATGATGCTCTCCTGCTTGTTTTCTGCAGTGCCATGTTTTAGACAGGCAGTTTTTGGAGGAGGAGGAGAAGGTTAGAGGACAGGACGGAGCACCCTGGGTCCCGGTAGCAGATGGCAAGGCCCAGAGAAAGTGGAGCAATAACCTAAATGAGCAGAGCAGGAGCAATAGAAGACACTGAGCAGGGGGAGGCAGATGTTGCAATGGACCATCTCTGGTCCCCAGTGCAGGGAATGGAAACAAGGAGAGAGTCGTGTGTTTTAGGAAGCCTCAAATACCTGGCTTTTTGCAGAAAAGGAGGAAAGAGGCGTTAGGTCAGCCAGACCCGCAGAATTAATGCAGAGGGTCCTGCCAGGCAAGTGTTTTGGGGACACTCAGACATCAGTGATGTGTGTCATCACCACGTTTCATAGAATCATAGAATGTGTTGGGTTGGAAGGGACCTTTAAAGGTCATCTAGTCCAACCCCCCTGCAGTAAACAGGGGCATCCTGTGTGGGGCATGAGTGGGAATGGGCTGTGAGTAGGCTTTTAGGGACATTGCTAAGGGAAAAAGCCCCACTTTAAGAGTGACAGCCCAGACACATGTAAATGTGTGGGCTGTGTTCACCCCAGTGACAGAAAAGGACAAGAGGAAATGGCCTCAAGTTGCACCAGGGGAGGTTCAGATTGGATATTAGGATTTTTTTTTACATGGAAAGGGTTTTTAAACCTTGGAATGAGCTGCCCAGGGAGCTGGTTGAGGCACCATCCCTGGAGGGATCCAAAAGACGGGTTGGCACAGTGCTTAGAGACATGGTCTAGTGATGGGTTTTATCAGAGTTAGGTTGACAGTTGGACTAGACAATCTAAAAGGTCCCTTCCAACCTGGACAATTCTGATTCCGAAAGAACATCTGGCTCCTCCTTAAAACCACACAGGGAAAGACCAACACAGACCGGGGCTGGTTGCTCTCACTCATCAAGCGTCCCTCCAACACCCCGTTGAGGCACGTAGAATCATTTTTTTTGAACTTCTATTCTGCTCCTTCAGAAGCCAGGCTGCAGCCCACTGTGCAAACAGACAGGGGTGTGTTCGTGGGCGTGTGATTGTGCACAGCTGAGCTCCTGTGCGCGGCGCACAGAAAGAGGCTTGGAACCATGACAGCAGCTTGAGTCAAACATGCAGGTGCTCACGCGGCTGATGACTTGGCTTGTTTTCCTTGCCAAATTACACTTATTAGCTCAGTAAGGCGATTTTAGCAAAATCACCTGGCTGGACTTACAATATGTGTGATATACATAACACGCGTGTACATGCACAGAAGCTGTGCACATGTATGCAGACACACACGGGTATCTGTGTAGAGGTGAAATATATAAGTATGTAAAACCACTATGTAAAAAGTCTCCAAAGACTGTTCTATAATGGTGTTTTATTAATCAATGTGACCTCTCCCCATTATGCCTCCTCTTTCTGCTTTCAGGAGAAGGATGACCACGAGCCATGAAAGTCTCCTTTGACGCTCTTGGAAGTTCGAGGAAGTTCTTCCTTGCCACTTCCTTCTGAGGGATCAAAAGTGCCTTTCCTTTCCCTGATTGGTGCTTCAGTACGTTAACATCTCTCCATCCTTTCTGTAGCTCCAGAAAGAGGTCCAGAACATGACCCAATAAAATGCACTTGCTCTAAGTGGCCGCATTCGCTGTTGTGGTTCTTCCACAGACCCGTTCATGCATTCACCCTAAATGCCTCTTTTCTCTCTACAAACTTGTTCCTACCTGTCTCTCCCAAATGACCTTCTGGAAGTTCTCAATATTTTCTGTGTCCTGTGAAAAAATGTCATTGCAACGATCTGAGCTGAAGGTTGGCACAGATGTTATAATGTGTGTTTCCTGCAACACAGTCTTGAAAATAACCACTGCAACCCATCCATGCATCCCTGCCCCCGTGACCCATCCTCTTTTGGCTGACCTCTCATGGCAGAGTCATGACGAATCCTCTGAGAAGCCCATTTTTTGGGTAAGGATTTCATTACAACACAGCTGTGGGGAGGAAGGGATGCAGGTTTTTTCTATTGAAGTGCTGGAGCGTGTCCAGAGGAGAGCCACCAAGCTGGTGAGGGTCTGGAGAACAAGTCCTACGAGGAGAGACTGAGGGAACTGGGCATGTTTAGTTTGGAGAAGAGGAGGCTGAGGGGAGACCTCCTTGCCCTCTACAGCTCCCTGAAAGGAGGGTGTCGAGAGGTGGGGGTTGGCCTCTTCTCCCAAGGGAATCATGACAGGAGCAGAGGAAATGGTCTGGAGTTGGGGCAGGGGAGATTTAGATTAGATCTGAGGAAGAATGACTTTCCTGAGAGGGTGGTCAGGCCCTGGAACAGCCTGCCCAGGGAGGTGGTGGAGTCACCAGCCCTGAAGCTGTTTAAGAATTGTGTAGACGTGGCACTTCAGGGCATGCTCTGGTGCCTGAGATTGTTGGGTTGAGTCTGTTTGTGATTTTATTTTTTTTTTTGTTTTGGCTTTGTTTTGGTTTTTTGGTGGTTTTTTTTTGGGGTTTTTTTTTTGTTTTGCCTTTGTTTTGGTTTTTTGGTGGGTTTTTTTGTGGTTGGACTCAATCATCTCAAAGGTCCCTTCCAACCACGAATATTCTGTGATTTTGTGATTTTTCACCCTAACCATTCCGAGGGAAGAGCCATCGGGGAGGCTGCTCCCTGGGGAACACCCCTCGGCATGACGTGGGGCAGACCCGGAGCCGCGCTGTGTCAGCAACAGGGATTTACGGGAAACACACCAACGCGCGGCCCCGGCGGCTGCCAAGTCCACCCAGGTGAAGAGTTGCTTCAAACTCTTGGCATTAAACCAATGCTATCTCCAAACAAAAAGGTTTAAAGAGCATTTCAACTTGATGATGAGGCAAAAAAGCCCCAAAGTATAAAACGCTTTTGAATTCTTCTCACTTTTATTTCTCTCATCCCTTATTTCCCCTCTTTTTTTAAAAAACAAAAAAAAATCAAAGGCTTGTTTTTCTTTTTTTTTTTTTCTTTGAAAGTTCAGCTAAAACCTGTGGAATTAAAGTTGCTGGTTTTTTAAAGCCTGAAACATTTAATTTTTAAAAAACTGTTCAACCTTCAGGATTTGCTGAACAGGCAAAGCCTAAGGGAAAGAACCCAGCCCATCTTTGGGGGGGACATTGTTGGAATGTCCCCCTGAGAACTCATCCTGACAAAGCCTCCCTCTGGACATGGTCACTCTCTCCCAGGGTGAAGCTGGGACAAGGCAGACCAAAGGAGCTGTGGAACCTCCTCCCCCTGTGCCATCAGTGTTTGCCTGTCTTAGACACATAGAATCACAGAATGGTTTGGGTGGGAAGGGACCTTCAAGCCCCCCCAGTGCCCCCCCCTGCCCTGGGCAGGGACACCTCCCACCAGACCAGGCTGCTCCAAGCCCCCTCCAACCTGCCCTTCAACCCCTCCAGGGATGGGGCAGCCACAGCTTCTTGGGGCAACCTGGGCCAGGCTCTCACCACCCTCACACCAAACAAGTTCTTCCCCACAGCTCAGCTCCATCTCCCCTCTTTCAGGGTCAAACCCTTCCCCCTCCTCCTAGGGCTCCCCTCCCTCATCCAGAGTCCCTCCCCATCTCTCCTGGAGCCCCTTGAGGGACTGGAAGGGGCTCCAAGGTCTCCCTGGAGCCTTCTCTTCTCCAGGCTGAACCCCCCCAACTCTCTCAGCCCCCCCTCCCAGCAGAGGGGCTCCAGCCCTCCCAGCATCTCCGGGGCCTCCTCTGGCCCCGCTCCAACAGCTCCATGTCCTTCTGATGTTGGTGGCCCCACAGCTGGACACAGAGCTCCAGGTGGGGTCTCCCCAGAGCGGAGTAGAGGGCAGAATCCCCCCCCGGCCCTGCTGGCCACGCTGCTGGAGATGCAACCCCTGTCCTCCTTACCCTCATCAGGAGCAAAAGAGGAGAAATCACAGGATTTGTCCCCTGCTTGGAACGGAAGGGGAAAGCCAAAAGCTTCATTCTTGTCAATAAAGCCCTTTATCTCTTGGCAGAGACCTCACATTTCAGCGAGTCCTAGACAAGCTGACTTGTGCAACCTTCTGCAATTTCATGTTTTCTCAGAGTGTCTGGAGCCTCCCCCAGGCAAAGGGCAGTCCCTGAACATGAGAAGTTCAGTACAGACCTTTCCTAGAGTGCACGACAGCTGTTTTTTTAAGCCCTTCTCAAGCTGAACTCACTGCTCCCGCTCCCTTTCATGCGGCCAGAATTCCCCCTGGGTGAAAAGTTTTAAGATCTAACAGCAAACTTTGAAGAGGCTGCCACGCAGGAGCGGTGTCAGGCCAGGCTGCTGGGGGAATCTTCCCCTGCACGGTCACACCATGCACCTCTGGAGCCACCTCAGAGCTGCTGCTGGAGGGAGCGTCCTACAGCAGTTCAGAGGATGGGCACTAATTATCACCACCAGTGACGACGATGAGAGAAACTGCTCAGTAACAGTTAAAACTGCAGCCACAAATTTCTATTTTTAGTGGCTGAAAAAGTCATGCTACTTCCCTTCTTGCTTAACATTTGGGGGCAGAGTGGTCGCCGGGTCACTTTGCCAAAGCTAAACTCCGAGCCATAAATTGTTTACTCTGGCGCTGGGGTGTCTCGGTGAAGAGCTGGAGCATCTGGCCTCCAACAGGACCCGCTGCTTCCACAAGGTCCTTTCCCAAGGACAGGAACGAGCTTATCCGTGCAGCCCCGTGACTGTGTACGCGTTGCAAGCTGGACTGGGATGGAACAGCAGAAACAGCTACATCTGCCCTTGCCATCAGCTTCATCTTCTTTCCAAAAACAGAAAGGGAAACCATATGGTGCTTTGCTCCAGATGTTGTCTATCTGGACTTGTGCAAGGCCTTTGACACGGATCCCGACAACATCCTCCTCTCTGAATTGGGGAGACAGGGAATTGAGGGATGGGCTGTTCGGTGGCCGAGGAACTCGTTGGATGGTCGCATCCAGAGGGTAGTGGTCTATAGCCAAATGTCCAGTTGGAGATCAGAGACGAGAGATGTCCCTCAGGGGTCCATACTGGCACTGTTTAATAACCCCACCAGTGACATGGACAGTGGGATCAAGTGCACCCTCAGCAAGTTTGCAGATGACATCAAACTGAGTGGTGCAGCAACGCTCCTGAAGGATGGGATGCCATCCTGAAGGATGGGACCTGGACAGGCTGAAGAAATGGGCCCATGTGAACCTCATGAGGTTCAACAAGGCCAAGGCCAGGGTCCTGCACCTGGGTTGGGGCAACCCCTGGTCTCGGCACAGGCTGGGGATGGAGGGATGGAGAACACCCCCAAAGAGAAGGACTTGGAGGTACTGGAGGGTGAAAAGCTGGACATGGCCTAGGAACATGCACTGGCAGCCCAGAAAGCCACCCACACCCTGGGCTGCATCCCCAGCAGCGTGGGCAGCAGGGCAGCAACACTCCTGAAGGATGGGATGCCATCCTGAAGGATGAGACCTGGACAGGCTGAAGAAATGGTCCCATGTGAACCTCATGAGGTTCAACAGGACCTGGACAGGCTGAAGAAATGGGCCCATGTGAACCTCATGAGGTTCAACAAGGCCAAGGCCAGGGTCCTGCACCTGGGTTGGGGCAACCCCTGGTCTCGGCACAGGCTGGGGATGGAGGGATGGAGAACACCCCCAAAGAGAAGGACTTGGAGGTACTGGAGGGTGAAAAGCTGGACATGGCCTAGGAACATGCACTGGCAGCCCAGAAAGCCACCCACACCCTGGGCTGCATCCCCAGCAGCGTGGGCAGCAGGGCTGGGGGGGGATTCTGCCCCTCTGCTCTACTCTGGGGAGACCCCACCTGGAGCTCTGTGTCCAGCTGTGGGGCCACCAACAGCAGAAGGACACGGAGCTGTTGGAGTGGGGCCAGAGGAGGTCACGGAGATGCTGGGAGGGCTGGAGCCCCTCTGCTGGGAGGGGGGGCTGAGAGAGTTGGGGGGGTTCAGCCTGGAGAAGAGAAGGCTCCGGGGAGACCTCAGAGCCCCTTCCAGTCCCTCAAGGGGCTCCAGGAGAGATGGGGAGGGACTCTGGATGAGGGAGGGGAGCCCTAGGAGGAGGGGGAAGGGTTTGACCCTGAAAGAGGGGAGATGGAGCTGAGCTGTGGGGAAGAACTTGTTTGGTGTGAGGGTGGTGAGAGCCTGGCCCAGGTTGCCCCGAGAAGCTGTGGCTGCCCCATCCCTGGAGGGGTTGAAGGGCAGGTTGGAGGGGGCTTGGAGCAACCTGGTGTGGTGGGAGGTGTCCCTGCCCAGGGCAGGGGGTGGCACTGGGGGGGCTTGAAGGTCCCTTCCCACCCAAACCATCCTGTGATTCTATTATTCTAATAAGCTACAAAAAATATTTCCAGACTAACTCTCAGTCTTCTAATACACGTGGGCAAATAATCACGAGACTGAGTAGAGAAATTTTTTATTTTTGTAACAAAATTTTACATATTATCTAAAAACGTGTACATTTAGTCAGGGTGTATTAAAAGAAAAAACATACAGCAGTTTCAGCATATGCCTAATAAAATATATCTTCTTCTTCTATCAGGTTTTTTTTTTTTTCACATCAAATACACCACGACCTAAAGGACGATGCAGAGGGTTTTTTTTTAACTATCATGTGGAAAAGCTT